GCTTATTCCACTGAGCCATCTCCCTGGCCCCTTTTCTTTTTATTTTTATGAGCTTCTTTAGAATAAATACATTGCTGCTTATTTATGAAAACAAGGCAATGGAAAAGGATGACTTAAATAATTCCACCACCCCTGTTTTCTAAAGGGCTTTTTAAACATTGCTGTAAAGCACAAGCCCCCTTGTTGGCAGCAATATAAATCAAAAAGCGACTTAATAATTAGGATTGCTACAATGCTAGGAGCCTTTTAAGCATTACCTCACCCAATCTACCTATTAATTCCATATGAGATATCATCATCTAACTTAATTCTAAAGACTTTCCCCATGGTCCGTGAGCTAGTAAATGACAGGGCTACAATCCAAAGGCAGCACTCAATGATTGCAGGAACTGAGTGCTTCTCTGCCTATGCCAAACACTGACATTAGGCTCAAGCTTCCTGCTATACAGAACCAGTCCAGCAAAATCCCAAGGACAGCCCTTAAGTAGTATCTTCGTGTCCTTGGGGAAGACATCTCAACGTCCATTTTACCTTGGGAGTCGTCAGGAGGTTTGAACAGAGCCTTGGCTTCATCCACACTGCCTTCGATGGCCACTGACAAAGTCTTATCTGGGGATGAGAAAAGGCTCCATGGGAAAGCTGCTGGGAAAGGATGCTGAGAGATGCAGATGATCCAGCACAGAGGCTGCATTTTTCCTGCCTATGGCCAGCTGCCTACCGACTCAGGGCGGGACTTAAATCTTTTTCCACCATTTATTGAGTCCAAAGAGCCCATAGTACAAAGTACCCCAGGCCTACTGGCAAATGCCTCCCTTTTAGGTGCATACCAAAGCACAGAAATTTAAACCCAGTGCCTAACGTCAGTTCCGGTTGAAACTGTCAACCGTTACAAAAGTCTCACCAAAAAGTCCACACCCCAGGAACAGCAGCTCTCTAAGTGCTTATTCTCTGTTCTGCAGGATGTTCACTCAACTAGGAGGCAGGAGCAGGTAGGAACTTGCAGTCCAATCCCAAATACAAGTCACTGCCCTTTTTCTTTTGCGGAACCGGGGATTGAACTCAGGCCCTTGAACTTGCCAGAGAAGCGCTTATTCCACTGAGACATCTCCGCAGCCCCCTGCCCTTTTGATTCCTGATCACATGATGTGGAAAGCTCTGAGTCTTTGCTTTCACATCTATGAAATGAGGATTTAACAAACAGAGCTGGCTTACTGAGTGGTAAGGACCAAATGCTGTTCACCCTTTTTACTGAAAAATTTTTTTTGAAATTTTTTTTTTTTTGGCGGTACTGGGGATTGAACTCATGACCTTGAACTTGCCAGGCAAGCACTTATTCTACTGAGCTATCTCCCCAGCCCATTTTTTTTTGAAATTTTTAAAAAATTAGTTTTTAGGGCTGGAGAGATGGCTCAGTGGTCTAAAGCACCTACTTGAAACAAGCTTGGCAAAGTACAGGGACCGCGGTTCGATCCCCTAGCACCACATGCCAGTCAGCCCCGCCCCCTGGTGGGCTGAGCTGGCCACACACACACACACAATAAATAAATGTAATAAATAAAAATAAATAAATAATTTTTAAAAAAATTAGTTTTTGGGTTGGAGATGTAGCGCAGTTGCCTAGCTTGTGTAAGTCCCTTGGTTCAATTCTCAGCACTAAAAAAATTCGTTTTAATCTTCACAACAACCCTGCAGAAATATATAGAAACTATTATTAGGTCTTTTTTTTTGGCAAACCAGGGATTGAACTCAGGCCCTTGTGCTTGCCAGGGAAGCGCTTATTCCACTGAGCCATCTCTCCGGCCCCTATTATGTCATTTAGAGATGACAAATTTAAGGCTCAGAGAAATTAGAAACCACAGCTCGGAAGCAGACTGAAGATCAGGTCTGCTTCATACAACCTTAGCCTCTTAAGCACTGAGTGAATATCCAGTAACACATACCTGGCCTCATGTCTCCTTGAGCCTTGTTGTGCTTTGCACCCTAGTATTTTTTTTTCTGATACTGGGAATCAAACTGAGGACCTTGTGCTTGTCAGGCAGATGCTGTGCCACTGAGCTATATTCCCAGTCCAGGCATAGAACTTTTTTTTTTTTTTTGCTACAGGGTCTCACTACACAGCTTGGACTCATGGTGATCCTCCTGCTTTCAGCCTCCCCATTGCTGGGATTATAGGCGTGTACCACTAACACCCCAATGGACTCTCTCCTGCCCAGACCCTGTGGCTGGCTCAGCGAGCCTTGCGGGCACAGCATGTGCTGTTGGGGATTAAACCGAGGTCTCTGCGCTTGCCTAAGCAGGTGCTTTAGTCTGCTGAGCTATCTCGTGGGCCCCAGCCTAGTACTTTTTTTTTTAGGCCTAGTACTCTTAAGATCAGTTTCTCTCCTTCTTCCTTTCTTTATGGTGCTATATCCCAGCCCCTCTTCTTCCTTTCTGTAGAGTCACAGAAAACTGCAACAGCTTGTCCAGCTACACTAAAAAGGAATGGTAGAGCTGGGTGAGGTGGTGCACATCTATAATCCAGCACTCAGAAAGCTGAGATAGGATTGTTGAGGGTTTGAGATCAGCCTGGGCTACAAAGTGATCTCAAGGCCAGTCTGAGCTGCAAGCCAAGATCTTGTCTCAAAAAGAACTAAGTAAGGGGCCGGGGAGATGGCTCAGTGGAATAAGTGCTTCCTTGGCAAGCGCAAAGGCCTGAGTTCAAACCCTGGTTCTGCAAAAATAAATAAATAAATAAATAAATAAATAAAAAATAAAAAAGAACTAAGTAAATCATAAAAGAATAAAAAATAATAATAATTAAAATTAAAATGAGAAATGGCAGATTTCCCCCAGTAGACAATCACCTCATTTCTGGCAACCATATACAAACTATCATATCCTACCCCTAAAAAGCTGGTTAACCTTCAAATATTAGTAAATGCCAGACTATTCTTTTTGTGTGTGGTAGTGCTGGAAATTGATCCTGGGGCCTCAAGCATGCTCAGCAAGGTATACCACTGGACTATATTCCCAGCACTAGACTAATTTTTTTAGTTGTTTAACCTTGCATTCTATTAAAAAAAAAAAAAAGGGTAGAAACCATCTGAATTTTAAACACAAAAGAAAAGAAAATTACTCACCCTGTCTAGGGGGCTGGGAAGATTTCATATGAGCTGATGATGAGCGTGGGAGGGAGAACAATGGGTGGGGAGAAGACAGAGAGGTCCAGGAAGACATAAGAAGAGAGACAGTAATGTGTTGGTGCCTGTGGCTGGGAGAGAAGGTATGCACTGGTACAATACATGTCTATCTAATGCAATGGGGTGGGATGGCAGTGAGGGGGAAATGTTAGGTGCTGGTCAAAGCTGCATTAGAGCAAAAGCAAAAACTTCTCTAAACCTTAGCAGAGTCACAGGCTGCCCTTAGGTATAGTGAGGACAAAGCCCCTCACCTGGTAATTTAGTTTGTAATGACATGCAGCCTGTTTCAGGATGCAGAGAAGCCTGGAAGAGCTGGCTGGGCTCTGTGCTCAACAAGCTCCCCTCCACTCCCATGCAAAGCAAAACAAGAGGCTCCAAACCACCTGCCAAGTGTGCCTTGATGGCACAAACACCTGCAAGCTCAGACAGGCTACCTGGGCACTGCACTAGCCAGGCTCATGAAAGCACCCAAGCCATCCATCCATTCTGAAATGCCCATCAGTTAGTCTAGACTCAGACCAGCTGGTAAAAGCAGCCATGCTGGGCAAAGCAGAGGAAAGGCAGTATCTATCACCTGAGGACTTCTAGGTGAGCCAGGAAGCTCTTCTGGGCGGGCAGGGCTTCCACATGACTCTGCAGGATACTTCTGATGCTCCCACAGCCCTTGTACTCCCCTGGCCCCCATACTCACCACAGGCCTGCCCATAGGCGGTAGCCTGCACAAAGAGCACGTAGAGGGGAGGTGGTAGGTGTCTCGCTGTTTCATATTGCTTGTGAGCCTGGTCAAATGGCATAAACAGGTACTCCTGCACTGGGAGGGAAGCCTATATGGAACAAAAAGATAGCTTTCATTTTTTTTTTTAGTACTGCAGATTGAATCCAGGACCTCAGGAATACTAAGCACTCACTCTACTGAGCTTCCCTGAAGCCTTGCTTTTCCTTTTAGTCCATCTACAAAGATACAAAGATACAGGGCTGGTGAGATGGCTCAGCAGTCTAAAGCACCTGCTTAGGCAAGCTTAGGCAAGTGCTCAGGGACCATGATTCAATCCCTGGCACCACATGCCGCGCCAGCCCTGCCCCCAGGGTGGGCTGCGCTGGGGGGTGGTATACAAAGACACATATGGTTGCTTTGTGACCATATAGTCTTTTTATTTATTTATTTATTTATTTGTGTGTGTGTGTGGCCAGCTCAGCCCACCAGGGGGCGGGGCTGGCTGGCATGTGGTGCTGGGGGATTGAACCACAGTCCCTGTGCTTTGCTAAGCTTGTTTTAAGTAGGTGCTTTAGACCACTGAGCCATCTCACCAGCCCCAAACTGAATTTTATTTATTTTTATTTTTTTTGGCAGAGCTGGGGATTGAACTCAGGACCTTGCGCATGCCAGAGAAGTGCTTATTCAGCTGAGCTATCTCCTCAGCGCAGTCATATAGTCTTTTATTCGCAAAGGTGGTATATGTAAACTAACAACATATAGACAGGTAAAGGTCAACATACACACACAAAAAATTGTAATTTTCCCCCTATATCGGAGATTGAATACAAGATAGTAATGAGGAGCCGGGAGGATAACTCAGTAGAATAAGCACTTGCCTGGTGTAAGGTCCTGAGTTCAATCCCCGGTACCACCAAAAAAAAAAAAAAGATTGGGTTCACTTTGGGCCGGGGAGATGGCTCAGTGGAACAAGTGTTTCCCTGGCAAGCGCAAGGGCCTGAGTTCAATCCCCAGTTCCGCCAAAAAAAAAAAAAAAAAAAAAAGAAAATACAGTAAAACCTCCCAGGTTGAAGCCCATAAAAGTAAATTATTAGTCCAATGTGGATACGTACTTTGTAAGCATACAAATTCACACACACACATGCGTGTGCACGCGCACACACACCCACCCACCCACCCACCCACCCGTAAAGGTACTGTGTAACTAAGACATACAAAAAGGTCCTGGATTTGATCCCCAGCATCTCCCCCCCCACAATTATGCAAATTAATTAATTAATCTTCTAAAATTAAAAAAAATAAAACTGTGTTTTATATATTGTACTTTTAAATACTGTACTATAATTTATCTTTCTGTTCAGTTATTCCATCAATAGTGTATGCCATTCCACACTTCCCTCACAGTTATAAGGTTGTGCCACATGAACACGTCTTTAAGGACATTTCTAGTTTCCATTTAACAGGATAAAATTTAACCATGCAGAGGATATAAAGTGTTGAACACAATCAAAACTTTTAGTTTCCGTTTCCATTTTCTTTTTCTTCTGTTATGAAGACCTATGCTTCATAATAGAATATTTTTTGCTAACACTCTAATTCTACGCTTAAAGTTGAAGATGTAGACTTTGCCAAGCCCCAGAAAACTGTATTTATAATTTCTCTAGGGTCCTTTTACAAAGTTCCTCCATATTAGTCATTTATCCTGCTTCATAAAACTGTAAGCATTTAGAAGAAATTTGGCCTCACAAAGCAAACAAAAATCAGGTCACCTATATAGAAAGACATTCTATTTTATTAATAAATTGGGAATTTTCCCTCCTAAGATACTTAGTGGCTTTCAAATATGAGCCAAGCTCTTTTCTGAAAAGGCAGATCTGCCAACCAGTCTGGCCCTAATGTGTCTTCAAGGGACCCTAAGAGACATTCACAAGAAGACTCAGGCTAGGGATGTAATCTAGTGGTAGAGCACTTGCTTAGCATGCATGAGAACTTCAGTTTGATCCCCATCACCACAAAAAGAAAATAGAGACAGAGAGACAGAGAGACAGAGAGACAGAGA